TTGATGATTCCAGTAAATCAATTAACTTACTAGCTTTTTCAATTAGTTCAATATTTCTATCCGCTTTTTTGTTGATAATATCATTAAACTTCGTTCTGAAGCTATTTTCTTGTGGCATTGTAAATTTGTTTAATGTACTATCATTGTAAAAAACAAAAAACAAAATTTGTTTAATTTACTATCATTAAACTTCGGTAGACAGTCATTACAAAACCATTTACAGTTATCACAATCTTGTTTAATCTTCAAAAGTTGTTCTTTTACTTTAGCAAAATGAAGGTGATAATATATTTATTACAAAAATCACAAACTATAAATTTTGTATTCACTATTGTCAGAGCAAGCAACACACGTCTTACCGCTAGCAGACATTTCAGCTGACTCCTTTTATAAACTAATTTATATCTTATAAATTAGTTTAAAAAAACTGCAATGTTGTAAAGGGTGATTTTCAAAAGTTGAAAAGTTGCAAAATTTTGGCAAAAAATTGTTTTCACCTATAGCACTCATAACAATTGATTTTTAAGGGTTGAAAATGTATGAATTTGTATTTTAAAGTATAAAAAATCACTATTTAACTAATCCAAACCAAATTTCACTCATCTTAAGATTTGTAATATTATTTTACAATTTTTGAAAATTAGTGTAGTTTTCACCCCTAAGAACAATCAGGGTGAGTTGAGCTTAATTCCAAATTTTATGCAAATCGTTCCAAGGTGAAATCATTTTCTTCGCATTACTAATTTTTTTATATTAATCTCTAATAAGGGTCGCTTTTTAAGGGTTGAAATATGATGGAACTTTATTCAAAAGCACGAAACTATCATTATTTAATTAATTCAAACCAAATTTTACCCATATTCAGGTTTAATTATGTTATTTTATAATTTTTGACAATTAGGGGTAGTTTTCACCCCTAAGAACAATCAGGGTTCGTCGACATGACATAAACTATAAAGCAGCGGGTGAATTAAGGATAAATCCAAATTTTTAACCAAATCGATCCAAGGCGAAATCATTTTTTTAGAATTAGTAATTTTTTTACATTAATCTCTAACAAGGGTTGCTTTTTAAGGGTTGAAATATGATGGAACTCTATTCAAAAGTATATAAATAATCATTATTTAACTCATTCAAACCAAATCTTACCCATATTCAGGTTTAATATGTTATTTTATAATTTTTGACAATTAGGGGTAGTTTTCACCCCTAAAACCCATCAGCGCACTTCGGTTCGATATAGATTTTGTTCCTTGGACTATCACCTACTTTCTGTTAAAATTTCAACTGGATACATGCAGGACGAAAAAATTGCGAGGTTTTAACTTTTTTCGAGCTTCATTTCCTGAACTATTATCGCTTCCTTAGACAAACCCGTCTTACGTAAACAACATTATTGCGAGACAGATAGTTGAACGATATTTTATACAATGTCTATACCCAGGTATGGATTTATTTTTGTCCAAGTTTTATATTGGTCCACTATTTCAAATGCAGTTCAAACAGACATGTAGACATGCAGTTCAAACAGATATGTTCCCTATGTATAATTTGTCCCTTGTGTCAATGACTACTAAAATATTGTGTGTTTATTAATTCAGTTTTCATAGATAGGTACATTAAAGATTTTATATTTATCTTTTGAAAAATACGTTATTTTATTTGAATTTTCAATTTAGTGTATTTACATACCTATAATAATTTATTTCAATAGTACCTATCTAACTAAATATTTAGGTACCCTATATAATTATTCAAATCTTGCATATCTAACTCATGCCGAAAAAAGAATCTTTGATGTGCGGATAATTATTAGAGTATGCGTTTTATTTAGAATGCCGATAATGGGGACTCGGGATACTTTTCATTTTGTTAATATTTTAAATATTATGTTTGTTTTAGGATAAAATAAATATTTTATTCGTAATTGTGATATATTTTATTAGCCCAAACCATAATCTAAATACAGGTTGTTCGGGCAATTTGGTTACTAAACTAATTAAAATGAAGTTCCATTGTGCTTACCGTGCTAAAGGCGCCGATAACAGGTATATTTACATATATATATATATATATATATATATATATTATATATATATATATATATATATATTATATATTATATATAATATATATATATATATATATATATATATATATATGTATATTATGACTTGGTTTAGACCCGAATCGTTCGATTGTGTTATATCCGCCTACCTACGTTTTTGTGCGAAAGTGGGGTTAGTTTGCAAATGCGACGAAGAATTCGTTTCTCAAAGTAGTGTTTTATTTGTTGTCATGGCGTCAAACGTAAGTATTTATTTTGTTTATTTTTCAATGTGTATTTTTAGCGTTGATATGGAGATCATATTGTAAAATGGTTATTAATTACAGTGTTTTAAAAAAATTAATAACAAGTTTGAGATCTGGTGACACAGAACCGTATTTAGATGAATGTCATAATTGTGACCTTTGGGTCTCAATGACTACGTAGCTTACCTAAATATGTGTAAATAAATTAAATCTTTTTGTTACAGGTTTAAGTTCCAAAATTAACTTGGACGACATACGAGCCAATCCAGATAAAATCTACGACCTTTTGGATGATGTTGGTTCCGATTTTGAGTTCCAAAATGAAGACGACGATGAGTGGCAGCCTATACTTGAACCTACATGTCCTACTTATGAATCAGAAAATAGTGACTCTGATGATGATAACTCGATAAATGAAAATGTTGCTTCCACAAGTAATGCTTCAAATCCAATCGTAAAAAAGCATGAAAATAAAAACAACAAATGTCATAAAAGAGAGCAAAGTTTTACGTGGGAGAAAAGACCATTTCCTCAAGCAGATGTTTCAAATGAAGTAGTTGGAGATGTTGGAGAAATATTATCGCCATTTCAATATTTTGATAAATATTTACCACAAGCATTTTTTGATTTGGCCGCAGTACGTACAAATCAATACTACGTACACAAAAATGGTAATCTACTAAAACCGCATGTAACTTCTGAAGAAATTAAAAAGTTTTTTGGAATGCATGCAATTTTGGGATGCATTAAATATCCACAAATACGTATGTACTGGCAATCAAATTTTAGACTTCCTGTTGTAGCTGATACGATGTCAAGAAATCGTTTTTTTACACTCCGCACAAACTTCCATGTTGAAGATGAAAACAGGTCTCCAACGAAAACAAAAAAAATAATAAATTGTGGAAAGTTCAACCTATGATAGATTTTATTAGAAAAAGATGTAGAGAAATTGAAAGACCAACGGGAAATTATTCAATCGATGAACAAATGATACCATTTTTAGGCAGATGTGAACTGAAGCAGTACGTCAAAAACAAACCTAGGCCCGTGGGTTTGAAAAATTTTGTAATGACTACTTCGGCAGGTATTGTGACGGACTTCGAAATATATCAAGGTAACACATCTGCGTTCGCAAAATTCAAGAATTGTGGCCTAGGCTCCTCTGTCATATTATATTTCGCAAATACTTTACCGAAAGGAAGTCATATATTTTTTGACAGATATTTCAATTCTGTAACATTAATGACATTAATGGAGGAATTAAATAAAATTGGAGTGTATGGAACGGGTACCGTTATGATTAACAGATTACAAGCACCAGCAGCCTTCAAAAATGACAAAGAAATGCCTAGAGGAGAATCAGAACAGTTTACTAGATGTGATAGTCTAATGTGTCTTGTTAAGTGGAAAGACAATAAAGTTGTCCTGATGTTGTCTAATGTACTTAGTGTCGAGCCAGAAGCCGTAGTAAAAATATGGTGTAAATCTGAGAAACGTTTTGTCGAAGTTTCATGCCCTAATATTGTTAAAACATACAATCAGAATACGGGTGGGTTCGATACATGCGACCAAATGATGGAATTATATAGAACATATTTCAAAACTCGTAAGTGGCCATTCAAAGTAATTCTACACTTATTTGATTTGGCGATAGTAAACAGTTGGATGGAGTATATTAGGGACTGTAGGGCTAATGGTTATCGCAGGAAAGATATAATGGATTTTCTGTCATTCAGGATAGCTTTGGGAGAGTTTCTGATTGGAGGTTTGAGACCTAAAAGAAGTAATAACACAGAAGGTGCAGGGAGCGAAGATGGAGAAAATGAAGACAGATTGGAAAATCCGCAAAAGAAACTGAAACGATTTCCGGTTAAATTACCTGAACAAGATAAACGTTACGATGGTTATGAGCATTGGCCTCTGAATGATGATTTACAAAATCCGCTTTCTTGTCGGTTGGAAGCTTGTCAAAGCCGTTCACGCATACGTTGTAGTAAATGTAATATTTATTTATGTTTAAGTAAAAACAAAAATTGTTTCAAAGCATTTCATACGCGATAGTTTTAAGTAATATATGTTTACATTATGTATTAAGTTGTTCAATATATCTGCTGTCAATATTTTTGAATAAAATATTTTAATATCGTCTTTATTTCTTTATTTTACTCAGAAGTTTTTAAGTCCCAGAGTATACAATTGTGACTATCTCACAATTGTGAGGCTGTTTTGTATGAAACCAAGGCACACAATTGTGAGGGTCCTTAAAAACGTCCTGAGGGTCCTTAAAAAATTCTGAAAAAAATTGAATGTCATTTGCAACCCAAATACAGTAAAAACAAGACATTGGTATCCTTCTGCAAAACCTTATCTTGTCATGGGTCTGTAAAGGTATTATATATATTATATATATATATATATATTATATATATTATATATATATATATTATATATATATATATATATAATATATATATATATATATATATATTATATATGGTATATATATATAATATATATATATATATATTTATACATATAAATATATATTATATATTTATATATATATATATTATATATATATATATAATATATATATATTATATATATATATATATTATATATAGTGTGTCAATTTTAATGGGTGTGAACTACCACACAACTGCTGTTTGAAAGGAAAAAATTAATAACCATAGATTTCTATTTTATTTATTACTTAAAAAATGTTTTTTCTAACACTACACATAAACTTGCAAACATTAGAATGCATGCTTATTACAATGTCAATGTAATATAAAATAATTATTTAGTTGAGGAATTAAATACTAAAATACCTAAAATCTAATTTGAAATCCTTTGTAGTCTGGTCGTGCCAGGTTTTGCCAGTTGGTGAGATCACACTTTTCGATCTGACTGCCGGGGGAACCCGCGCTCGACAGCCACATCACCCTGCAAAAAATAATTCAGCATAAATAATAACCGATGACATGAATATGAAACTATATACAGGTTCATCAGGGAATGTTGTACACGGTATACAGAACTTATGCTAGTTTCTATTCTTTAATTCGTACCAAGCCGCGCGTCTACGTCACACGAGAACTAGAAATTCTCAATATAAGGTTCATTTATATACACTTTAATTGTATTAAATTTAAACTGTTTCGTTTTGCCGCAGTTATATTTCATTACATCCCGAAATCATCTAAAAACAGTCATAAAAACAACATTTTTTTCTATATTTAACATATATCTTAAACAGAAGTTCCCATCTGACTTTATGTAATAGCAGCTGTATGCGCAAGAGCATACCGTTAGTTCTGTATATCGTGGTTGTACGTAGGCTGTAAAGGTCAGTATTTTAACTGTATTTATTTCTTTATTTGCTTAAGCTCTGTTGTTTTGGTGTCTGCTCTGCCAGTGATGACTTGCTGTTCGAGAAATAACTCTCACTATTGTCGCTTTACCGTTGATATCTTCTGCTACAGCCGGAGATTATAGGCTCTTAAAAAAACTTATTAATTACATTTTAAAACTTACGATTTCCTTTGAGGAAGAGGAGGGTTCATGGGCCAGGCTAGCATCGTACCCATTATAAAAGAACACAAGACTCAAAGAACCAATATAAACCTCGAAACCAGATGGAACTTAAGATGACAAACCACGCAAAGAAAAGGAACATACGAAGGAAAAATAAGCCCACAATTAGATTTACAACATTAATCATTACTTCTTTTAACAACAAAGACCAACAATAACTGATAAATAAAATCATAGACATTTGTGCAATCCAAGAAACCAAGAAGAAAGGTAAAGACCAAAGAGACTATAACCAATAATTTCTAGCCTACTGTGGAGTGAAGAAAAGAAAAACAATTTAAAGACAACATACATAACTGCCGTTATAATATCTCCGAAAGAGTAATACATATGAACAACACAATGCACTACCAAAAATTAAATGTCATATCTAGTTATCGCTCAGAGGGCTGCAAATCTAAGGAGAAACTAGAGGCATTCTACAAACAAATTCAAACCATCCTGGATGAAATACCTCATGAAGAACCCTTAATTCTTATGGGTGACTAAACCATGTCAACGCAAATGGAGAACTCATGGTTAATCTCTATGCTTTAACGAACTGAGAATCAATAATACATTTTTCGACCATAAGCTCCAATATAAATATGCATTTAAAAACTTCAGGGGGCACAAATCTATGATTGATTTTATAGCCACTAATAGAAAAATCCACCAAAAGCAGATTCTAGATATCCGAACTTTAACCGCAGCAGACGCAGGGAGAGAACACAAACTAGTACTAGCAAAAATAAGAATGAAAATAACACCAAAACATTTTCTACGGGAAATCACCAAGACACCGACGAAAAATTCAATGTAGAATCACGGTGCAACGACTCTACAAGAGAAATGTACCAAAGGAGGCTAGCACAGAAGATACAGTTGAAACAAATAGACGATATTAAAGATATAAACGCGAGATGGGAGAAAATTAAAAACAACATTGAAGAAGCAGCAACAGAAGCTCTAGGAAATCGCAAAGTCATACTGAACAAAAGAAACAACAACAATACATCATGGTTCAGAAAAATAAATGAAAGAGAAATGTAAAGAGAAACGAGAGGCCCACAAGAAATACAAACCATCAAATACTCCAGAATCCCGAGACACCTATAGAAGAATACGAAATGAAACAAAGCAGTTGGTAATAAGAACAAAAAATGGAACAGTTTACAAAAAGTATGGAGAGCGACTTCTACGGTACCAAAAAACAAATATGGAGATTCATAAGAAATCAACGAATGGAAATGGAAATCAGCAAATGAATGGGAAAGATACCTGACGGAGCTGTTTAATGAAAGGAAAATAATAATCAACACAATAACTTACCTAAATTAAGACACGAAATAGAAATCAGCTTTTAGTAAGAAGAAATAAGTTTTTAGATCTATATATATATATTTATATATATATATAATATATATATATATATATATATATATATAATATATATAGACGAAATTAGCATAATAATATTATGAGTTTTTAATTAATAAACATTAAATAGTGATTAAAGAAATAATTTATAAGTTATAGACTAGAGAATATTATATAAAAATATTTATATGAGGGTATTTTTAAGAAATTAGCAAATAATAAGTATACAAAGTTTTATTTTATAATCATAATATATTTAAGTGAGCCATGTGCATGAGCAACCAAATATACACTAAATTGACACTGTATTATTATGACATGAGTGAATTTGAACTGAATAAGTAACATTTGAATAATAATTACGGATGTAAAATAGTGTTATGTATTAATTTAAGATGTTTAGTTTATATATAAATGTATATTCTGATCTGTAAAGCCTAAATGTCCATAAAATTCTCCATATAATAGCAAAGAATTCTCTGGAACATGTTATTAGAAAGAAGTTAATCCTATTTGCGGAGTAGATTATTCGAGAACATTCAGGTATTGTTGAAATATAACAAATTCGAACATGATTTATTGCTAGAATATTCGGGAACGATGAAAAGATATAAATACGATGTAATTTGGAACAAGGATTCTTAGACAATTTAAGACAGTATGAGAGTAAATTAGACAGTTCAAGACAGTATGAGATAAATTAGACAGTTCAAGACAGTAAGAGAGTAAATTAAGACAGTTACAGTTGGACAGTTACAGTAAGACAGTGCATTCATTAAACAGTCAATCATTCAGTCAGTTGATTAGTAAATATTACAAGCAGACACTATACAGTGGTCAGTATTGAAGTAATAATTATACAGTACAGTATGCAGTAATCAGCGATTCAAAGTTTTATAGTATTTGAAAGTATATTTGAAAGTATATCAAAATTATAATATCTATATGGTGACTGGAGATTATTAAGAAGAAAAAATAAGATTATAAGTAAGCAGCAAAGAAGAAAAAATAAATAAAGGAGAATATTTTACCCATTTATAAATGCTATTTAGAAGAAAAAATAATTTAAATTGGTAGAAGCTGATAATTAAAACATTATGGTGTATTTGGAAAAAGTAATTTCACAAAAACAAGAATAATCGAGGCTGAAAACGAAGATATTAAATGGTGATTAAAATCTTTATTTTGGAAAACAGTTTCATTTAGGCATTCAGTGACAGAAAGGTACCAAAATTTGTTAATATGATTTAATTATTGTAAGAATTTCAATTTTAAGATAGGTTGTTCTAAATTGATATTGTCTATATTAGATAATATATATATTATATATATATATATATATATATATATATATATATATATAATATAAATATAAATGAACTAGAAGTATTTGCTGACAAACAAGGAAGTAAATTTTCAATATTGGGTTTGCAGCAATAAAAATGATACGTGTACTCTTTTAAATTTTTATTCCGAGCTTTCGGACATGGTTATGTCCTTCATCAGGGAGCTACAAATGTGATGAATAGATAGTTTGTTACAAGTTTGTATAATTAATTACAGATTCGCTACTTACAAACTTAATGAGGTTGGATCATCAATGATTGTCTACAATGTCGATAAAACTTATCACAGTCTGTCATATTTTTACATAACACTTATTCCTATATTTAAAATTTTTAAAAATTACTTTATAATCACAAACACTTATTTATTATACACACATTTCTGACATTTTTATTTCTTAATTTTATTATATCGTCATTATGTTTTTTCTCAAGACAATTCAGTGGTTTTTATTATTAGATACTAGTACCAAATTATAGGCCTATCATTAGATGTATTGTGGCAGTATAAATTATTTTATATTTATTAATCATATAGAAGTGAAACTTTAACTTGTCAATGTTTCAACACAAAGTTTATTAAATTAACCCAAAGAAATAAGGTCATAATTCTAAAAATATTACAATTGAATATGATATTGTTTTGTATGACCCCAGTATCTGTGTGTACCTATACAAAAATTACTATATTTAAAAACAATTAAAAAAAGAAGAAGAGAACTTTCTAGGGCTCGAACCCACATCCACTGAACCATTCGCAGTGAAGCGAATGAGAACCGGCCGCCTAGCCCGCTTAGCTATCTGACCGACGGAAGAAGAGATACCAGCTATAAATTCACTCAAAAAATACAAAGTCATCAGGACCAGACGGAATAATAAATGAGCTTCTAAAACATGAAGGCGAAAGTATAACCCTAGATATGACAAAACTTATATAAAAACTAATATTGCAGTGCAAGATACCAGACGCATGGAGAACAGCATAATAATATCAATGTTCAAGAAAGGAGATAAAGAAGACCCAGCAATTATAGAGGTATAAATCTACTGAACACCACACTTAAGCTTATTACAAAAGGCCTAACCAACAAAATCAATAAACTAACAACATTATCAGATGAACAACAATGATTCAGATTCGAAAGATCCTGCGTAGACGCCGTATTTGTACTAAGACAAATCACATCCAAGTCGAAGACGTCTTACAACTATTGTATAAAAGAATCATACCAAACACTATTATACAACATCTACTTACATAATCGAATACAGGCAAAGATAAATGGAAAACTAACACAGTGTATACCAGTACAAAGCGAAGTCAGATAGGGTGACTCTTAAATAAAATAATGGACAAAATAATACAAGCATACCTAAAAGTAATGATTACAGAAAGGAGAACAAAGAAATCCAAATATTATGTTATGCAGACGACGCCACATTAATCACCGAGACAGAAGACGAGCTCCAAAGATTAACACATATCTTCAATCCAACAACCAAGAAATACATGATAATATCAGCAGAAAAAACAAATGTATGACAACAACTAAATACCCAATACGATGTAAAATCGAAATTGATGGAAAAATAATAAAGCAGGAAGCAAGGTTTAGATATCTGGGAATAGATATCACTAGTTAC